CGGTGGAGGTGTCGGCGGTGGTGGAGGGGGGAGTGGTGGCGGGGTTGGAGGTGGTGGTGGTGGTGGCGGGGGTGAAGGTGGCGGGGTTTGAGGTGGCGTAGGTGGTGGTGGGGGTGGTGGCGAGTTTGGAGGTGGCCGAGATGGTAGCGGGGGAAGTGGTGACGGGGATGGAGCTAGCGGAGGTTGTGGCGGGGGAGGTGGTGACGGGGATGGAGGTGGCGGAGGTGGTTGCGAGGGAGGTGGTGACGGGGATGGAGGTGGCGGAGGTGGTTGCGGGGGAGGTGGTGACGGGGATGGAGGTGGCGGAGGTGGTTGCGGGGGAGGTGGTGATGGGGATGGAGGTGGCGGAGGTGGTTGCGGGGGAGGTGGTGACGGGGATGGAGGTGGCGGAGGTGGTGGAAGGGACATTGGTGACGGAGGGAGGAGTGGTTCTTCAGGCTCGTCCTCACAGGGGGGCTCGGGAATCTCCGGACAATCCGGAGGAAGAAAGGGCGGGCTTGCATCTTGAGACATGGGGGGCGGCGGCAATGTGGCCTGCAAGGGGGGCGGCGGCAATGTGGCCTGCAAGGGGGGCGGCGGCAATGCAGACAGCCCTGAAGCTCAACAAGATCGGGGGGCCGATGTGGAGGGGTGCACGGGGTGATGCCGCCTGCAACTGGGCCAACAGCACCACGGGTGCCGAGGTTAAGGACGGTGGATGGGCATGGATAGGCCTGGACCTTCCGCGGCAAGGACGCGCTCAGGGACTTACCGGCAACGGCGGCGGCGGCGGCAAGGTCCAGGACGAGTAGTAGGACGGATAGTAGGACGCCAGCCTACGCAGGGGTCTGTGCACCGTGTCAGGTGCCATTGACTGAATCAGGTTACGTGGTCCGCCAGTGGACACCTCCGGGGCATGCAAGGGAACTCCGTGCAATAACCCCAACAGCTCCTCCCTGGCCTCTCCCGCCGCCACAGACTGCGTGCTCGCACCCGACACTGCCGTACTTAGTGAGGCTGGCCCCGCCCCAGCAGCAGCAGCCGCGGAGACCCAAGCCGCAAGCAGCATCGTGAACAAGTACAAGGGTCCCTGGACCCAAGAGCCCGCGGTCCGGGACCTGGACGGGGCCCGGGCTCGCGGGTGCTGGCAGTGCGACGACCGCTGTCGATCACTGGCGACGTCCTGTGATGTCATCGGCTGCTGGCGTTGCTGTAGCAGAGCAAGGCTGGGGACCCGCTGCTGCTCCGAGGCTGTAGCAGCGACAGGACTATGACCGGGACAAGGATGGTAGGGTTGCGTTCGCGGGAGGCCACCACATTTTGTTTCGGTGCTTTCATCCGCGGGTTTGCAGCTTAATGCTCTTGCCCGGCTGCTGCAGCTGGGGGTACTGCAATTGCTGGCTGTGGGACTGCCCTCGGCGCCGTGGGGTATAGGTGGCTTTTCGTGGACGTCACCGTTCGGCCAAACGCGGCAGCAGACCGCCACATGGCGATCAGCCTCGTGAACCTGTACGGCGCAGCTAGGTAACTGCAGTTGTAG